TATATATATTGAACCATTTATGTGGTTCTGTTTTAATTTTAATGATGTCAGTTTAGGAACTCCATGAAGGAGTCCTCGGCGGTGTAAATGTCCGAGTCTCTGAACACCCTGCAGGTACAAACATCCACCACAAGAGGGCAGCATTACACCGAGAAACATAATTTTACAGAGATAAATAGAGTTAAATAACAATTTAAAATAATTACAGCAACGCTATTTAAATTAATAATCTCTGTATTATATTTTATGTCTTTTTACTTTCATACTAAAGCTTTATTCATGGATCTTATAACATTCATGCCTAAAACCTCCGCAAAGCTGCTGCCCCAGATATGCCCGGTGTGCTGAGGGACTGCGCTGATCAGCTCTCTGAGGTCCTACTATCTTTAACGCTTATTTTTATTTTGATGTTTTAAAATTTATTGTTGCCTTTTATATAATTCCGCCTGGCTGGCTCCCTAAGTTGCGTTACTGTTTTGTTGCATATCATATTCTTTTTAATGACGGAGTAGACCTTGTGGTAGAAAAAATAAAAATAAAAATACAGATAGGTTTGCCTTATTTGTTTAAAGTTTTTAATATCGCATTGAACCTTTTTGTTTATACAAATCAATATCTGGAAAAAGCTCTAAACATCTTGGATTCATAATTAAATTTTGTGCACAATGACATCAACCAAGAACTACTGTCATTCTAAGTAAGTGAGGAATGAAACTGATGAGGTCCCTGTTGTCAGATATATAAAAAAGACACAATAAGCCATAAGAAGATAATGAGAAAAACACAATAAAAGAAAAAAAAGTACTTTGGAGTGTAACAACACATTGTATGGCAGGCCATTTTAGCATTAAATCAGCTTCTCTAAAATTGGTTTATGGTATTTTAGTTAATCAAGATATCTCTAATGAGTAGTATAATAATAGTAAAATTTAAACAGCATTTTTCACAGGCCAGGAACCACAAAGTGTTTTACAAGATATAAGACGTAAAACACGGTGGATAAAACAGGATAGATAATAACACAGCATACATGTAATTTAAAAAATAATCTACTAAAACCCAACAAATGTGTCTTCAACTTTTTTTTAAAGTATCAAGAGAATCAAGGCAACACATTCCACAGCCTGGTGTTACGATCCTAAAGGCTTTATCCCCCTAAATGATGTCAGATTCAGCCTACCATTAGGTTGTAAGGAAGCTCAAATTCAAGATATAAGGGATTTGATAGTTAAAAACAGTTGTAGAGGTAGTTTAYTCATTATCTGTTTTCAAGATATCTCCCTTTTTTTTCAAAATTCTAAAATAAAAATGACATTATTATTTAACATATCTTAAATGCAATTTTAAATACAAGTTATATAAGATAGGGCTAATTAAACTGCAGATATCTTGAAAGCAAATGATGACTTAGCAAAACTAACAAATAGAGTATCTAAAACTGTATTTTTGACTAGTCAAAATTCATTTTAATCTCCAAACGAATTAGAGAGACTGTATCCAATCTGGCGACTTCTCTTGAGATATGTTAAAAGGTATTCTGATCCATTCAGGAGAATTAAAATGTAGTTGTTCCCATTCAAAACCAATTTTTAGTTATCTAGAATGTAATTACAGACAGTCAGTAGAAGCTGATTTTATGTTAAAATGACCTGCTATACACATTCGGCAATAGTAGTGTCATTGTACAGTATATATA